AGCAGCAGCAGCAGCAGCAGCAGCACTGACATGCCAACTAAACAGATTTATCTATGAATATCTTACTGTTCATTATTTGCAGAGATTAATGCCTGTAAAGAAACCGTGATTAGCTATTCAGTTCATATGAGGCTTACCTGCAGTGTTGGATGAGATTTCTTCATATCTCCCCAGCTAAGTATCCAAATTTGGTCATGTGATTTATCATAATGTAATTTGACAGGGAGAGGGTCAATATCCAGGGACTTCAAAGAAACAAAAACAATTGTATTAGTTCTTTGTGAAAAGGATCTAAGGTATGCATTTGATTCATGTTAACAAATCACTGGGAAAATGTTCTGTAAACATTCTTCACTCTGTGTCAAGTTAGACAGCATAACCCCGGATATAACACAATAAACGGAGGTCTACTCCAGATCATTGACATGGTGATGCAGCTTCTCCCATGCCAGAGCTAATGCTACACCATCCCAATGACATTTGAAAATTCCACCCTGGTGGGCAATGCAGATGATATGGTTGCAGACCACATTAGTGGCACCTGCACAGTTAGGGCTTCTGGACTTGTGCCTTTTTGCATACACAATTTTAAGAATGTCTTCTGCACTGAACAGCACTCAGTGTTCTCTCAGAGGCAACGGACCACTATGCAAGCTTCCAATTCATTCGACAGGGGTGTGAATAAGGAAGAGGAAATACGGAGCACCAGTCTTACCAACCCTTGTGGCAGCCATGATCTACAATTGTAAGCACGTTTATCTAGATCCTAGTGAACACAACTTCTGAGCAAACACACACAGAATTGCAGTGTAAGTATCATGTTTGGACATTTGCATAACATGCAGCCTACTCTTATGCATTTGCTTAGCTGGCAGTTCTACTGAGTTCAATGCAAAGAAGTACAGTCTTGCACTAGAATCCTCAACATATGTACTCTGGAGTAAGTTCCCAATGTTTCTGTGGGACTTACTCTCAGGTAAGTGTAAACAGCATTGCAGAGTTCTACTTACATAGAACCATAGAATCATGGAATAGTAGAACTGGAAGGGGCCAGAGGGCCACCAGGCCCAACCTGCTGCTCAGGACTCCGAGTTAAACCATCCCTCTCAGATGGCTGTCCAGTTGCTTCTGGAATACCTCTAGTGTGGGAGTGGCCACAACCTGCCAGGGTAATTGATTCCACTGTCGTATAGGGTCATATATACCTATGAGGTCATCAGTGCTATCAGTTGTTATATATAACAGTTGTTATATATACATATGAGGTCATCAGTGCTATTAGGCTGCTAACAGAGGACTCAATTGACAGTAACATTCTTATTGTCAAAAATTCTTACTGACCAACTCTTAGCAACATGCAGGTAAGAACAATGCTACTTCTAGTAGTCATCTCCACGTCTTCAACACAAGCACAAGAAGCAGAAAACGTTGTGGTTTGGCTTTTCAAAAGTGAAGTGCTGATTGCCAGATTTCCAGGCATGGCTGTGTCAAGAGGTAGCTTCTCCTTTGGGAAAGGCCTACTTTCTTGGCTGTATGAGAACCTTGATACATAGAATGAAGATTGGCTGCCTCTGGACAGTTACCTGAATGACTTTCTGAGTCTGGATATCAAGGATCATTATTCTATTCCACTTAGGCTGTGTTACATAAATATATTTGTCTCGGACATTGACAGCCGAAGCCCAGAGGCAAGACTTAATGGCATCACCTTCAACTCTAGGACATATTTCTGCCTGAAATAAAAAGAATAAAATCAGCTTTAATCCATTTAAATGCATAAGGACCACAGAGTAAGCTCAACCCAAAGCAACTCTCCATGTGCCATATAACACATTTGGGGAGTCAGGAAAGGTGGGCCAAACACTTCTTTCATATCCTTGGCTATAAAAATGAATTCATCATTTTTACTTAATGCCATCTATCACTTTCCTTCACAGTTGTATACGGCAGACTGTCTGAAGCACCGCTTTAAACTTAAACATCTCAGTTTGGCAGAAGCGAAGAGCCATGAATCTGCTTAAAGTCACCCTTGCTTGGGATTTCTAAGATGGACTTTCTGAGAATTAGGGAGTTTCGTTGTGGTTCCTTGCCCCAGTTCATCTCTGTGTTGAAGATGGAGTAGAAATTTCCAAATTTTACCAGATCTTTCTATGTATCCCTCAAATAGGATGAAGTGCTCATAATGCATATATGCCTCTACTTACATGTGACTCTGCTTTGCACCATCAGGACAAAGAACTCTGACAGGTCTTTTTTAGAAAAGCAGTGGATCTGGGGCAAACCAGCAAAGATAGAACCCTTTCTATCATTCAGGCACCAGCACCATGCACTGTTGGTTTGTTTTACTGTTTAGAATTGTGGTGCTGGAGGAGACTCCTGAGAGTCCCTTGGACTGCAAGGCGATCAAACCGGTCAGTCCTAGAGGAGATCAACCCTGACTGCTCTTCAGAAGGCCAGGTACTGAAGATGCAACTCAAATACTTTGGCCGCCTAATGAGAAGGAAGGACTCCCTGGAGAAGAGCCTAAAGCTGGCAACAATAGATGGCAAAAGAAGAAGGGGACGGCAGAGGCTGAGGTGGCTAGATGGAGTCACTGAAGTACTTGGTGTGAGCTTAAGTGGACTCTGGGGGATGGTGGAGGACAGGAAGGCCTGGAGGAATGTTGTCCATGGGGTCGCGATGGGTCGGACACGACTTTGCGACTAACAACAACAAAAAATTACATGTATAACCCGCCTTTATTTCTCTTGCAACAAGCTCCTCCTGGGTTATCCTCACGACAACCTGTGAGCTGGTGAGGCTGAGAGGCAGTGGCTGGCCCCATGTCACCCCAGAGAACATCAGGGCTGAGCAGGGACCAAGAGGCATAAGATTATTAACAGGGTCACACTCTCCACATCCTTCTTTCAGGCTGACCAAGGCAGTTCCTGCTCCGAAACCAAGCCTCAGTTCTGATTGAAATGGATCAGTCCCTCTCAAGAGAGCCTGCAGTTGACTGGCTACCACCCACCCAAGAATCGACCCCAAGAAAGGGTCTTGGCTACTCGTTTGTCTTAATTAATTGCCACCACCCTTCTCCAACATGAACAAAAATTGAATTTCAAGAGCAGTATGTTTTTTCTGCTTAAAAGACTGATCTGAAATTGGTCACATACCATTGTGTCAAGGTAAATGCATACAATTGGAAGCTCATAAAATTCCAGGCTATTCTTAATAAATAATCTACAAGATGACTAAATCTATCTTTCCACTGAGGTGTAGTTAAAGCACTATGTTTCCCCTCTCGCAATATGCAACCCTTTCATAATCATGTAACTAGGACAAGGTTACAAATAGCTTGGTTACTAAGCCCCTGAACTTACATAACTGGTGAAAACTTTGTCATTTGGTCTGATGTGTCTCTGGATCTCACAGTCATTTGGCTGAATTATTGTGATTCCATCATCAGAAAAGACATAGAACATGTTTCCCACACTGAGTCCTTGAAGACAGACAAAAAACAAGAGCAAGGGGAAAACTTGTCATAATTTCCTAGGTCTGAGACAAATAAAATAAAATAAAAATCACTGTACCAAAACAAAAAACAAAAACCACACCTAGAAATTGGGATGCTCTTGGTGCATTCACAAAATTAAAGATCATGTCACAAGTAGGGCTCCAAGGTGAGAGGAAGGAGGTACAGATAGGCTCAAAAATGTATTGCCTTGGTGGCAGCAGTCATAATGTGAGCAAGCGACCGGCGGTCAATGTTCTGCAATTGAGCCAATATGCAGGTTTCTGTCCTTTACATGAGAAACAATTTAATAATCATTTTGCATTTTCTGCAAAGTGTTTCGAATGCAGGAATGCAACAATGCTTTGCATACCATTTGAACTTTTATTTTTAATTGAAAAAAGAGAATGGCTGATTTTGTTTAATGTGCTATAGCCCCTGGAAGTGAATATTGATAGCCTTTGGAAGGGAATATTTACAGCCACCAAAGCAAAGACATTTTTGAAATTTTGCAAACTGTAATTCACAAATGTGGATTTTTTAAGCATTGCAATAGCACTCATCTATCAAAACTGGGGCATTCCAGAAGCTTTAGAAAAATAGCCTGCCAGTGAATTCCTAGTATGCAATTGTATTCCACATTTCTGCTTAATCAGAAATGTCCTTAAACTTTAGTAGTGTATTTTATTCTCCATTACATGCAAAAGCAGTGATGAATACCTTTTCTGCTGTGTTGAGGATCTTTTCAATCCTTCCGTTCAGAAATCACATCACTATACATGTTTCTATAGTCTACGAATACAGTATTATAATAGGTATTGTCATCTCAAATAATGTTGATATTGTACTTATCTGCCAAACTTCCATTGTTCTGTTGCTGTAAAAATTTGGTTTCAATGCCCTTTTTGCTTTTGCAGGGAATAGAAATCCTCAATTAAAGGAAAGTCACATCTTTTGGATGGTAGTTCCATTTAGATATAATACTCTCTTTGAAATTAGCTGGGCTTAAAAGTTCCTGTGTCTCGATTGTGCCTTGGCAATTCAATAATAAAAATATTTTGACTGGGATAAATTAATTGGAATAAAGGCACTCCCATGCAATATTTGTTTTCTTGGATTAACTGACATGATTGATCATGGAATGCTTTTCAGTACAAATGATCCTTGTGGCACAGGTCCTGCAAACAGTGACTCAATGGAGTGTGAGAGTTCGCAAGACTGGGTTCTCTTGCACCAATTATATAGTGTCAAAGCACAAATGGCATCTAGGTGTTGCATCATACCATTTTTACCATGATTGCTTTGTGTACTGAGACTTTGATATATGAAGTTCAGCTTTGAATTATACCACAGAAATACCCCAGTTAAGGCATCAAAGTGGATCTAGGAGCAATGATCCTTTAATGTGATGGTACAGTGAGGGATCATGCATTTTCCGAAAGCACAGCTAGCAAATTCCTGTGTTATCATCACCACTGAAGAACTAAAGTATCTTATGCTTAGAGCATCTCAGGCTGGTATTTTCAACATGTATTGCCCCAAATCCCTTCTTGCGGCACACAGACAGTTCCTATGAGCTTCAGTGGGGACTGAATGCACACATCGGAAGACAGGATTTGGTACTTGATGCAATGAGTGCACAGTTCTGCAGATGTTTCAAATTGGGACATTTTAACAAATGGTAACAATCATGCATTAACTTATGGCAGCTGTGAACTATGCCTGTGTTCCGATCCATGCACATTATCCATCCTATTCTATGTACTCATTTTGATAAAAATGCATGTTCACATTTCAGATTTTATTTGCCCTTCCTCAGAGCGGGTGCTAATGGTAATACTAAGAATCCATTTGATGCTGCTTATGATAAATTTTCCACTAGGAAAATGCAACAATTTCTAATCTTATCTCCATTAGAATTAGCACTGCATTGCATAAGCTTTCTAAGCATATCATTATACTAGTTTGGTTTAATTAACTGCATCTTAAACCAGAATTTAGTTCTTTCCTTATTGGTCCCTGGACCTTTTCTGTTAGCTCAACAGGCATTCACTCCATGTTTAATTTAGCTATGTGGAACTAATTTCAGAGCAGAATTTCATAATGTCTTGACTGAGTAACTAGCATGCAGTGATGTTAGCTAGCAATATGGCAGTGCGGCAGAAGGCAGAACTGTCTCATACTGTTTCTATTAGCAGATTAACAAAACTGGATTGCATAGTTGTAATCTGGTATTCTTTCCACTTAACCTCTTTGCCTTTAAAATATTAACTGTAGCTAATTTTAAAAATCAGTGCTGGCTCAACATTTCATCTCTGACTCAAAAACTTAACATCAATATATGATGTCATGACATTAAAATCAATATATAGAGCGTGTATATGCAATGTTATATACACTGTATAACCCACCTTTCCCCATTATGACATATTTGACTTGTGTTTGGACAAAAGCCTAAAGTGTTGGAAAGCACCAAAATAGTGGTAGTCGGGGGGGGGGGGGGGAAGGAATTTTGCAAAAGATGGTTGCAGTATATAAGGCTATGTTCTGCTTTTCTGAGCATGGGTAAGGGTCTGATTATTGTGGGATATTACGTTATGTGCTATAAAATGAATTCTGAAACTATAACAGCTTTTCGCAGTTTACTGTAAATGGCGTTTCAATTTTCTATCCGTGTTGCATGGGCCTTGCTCAATCTGACATGGACTGATAACATTAATGGCCAGTCAGCTGAACCTTTTAAACTGGTACAGTTAGATTATTTCATCAATTTGGGGAATGCTAAATTGTTCTTAGCTCCACATCTGCTCTGAGAATTCCTCGCCAGGGCATGGATCAAACCAGGACATATTGTGTTATGATCAACATACCAAAATAAGTTAAACCATGATTAGATAACAATTCTATGCTGCCAGAAGTGCCATTTTTGGTAGAGAGGCTGGGTGCAAGGCCAAAAGAATAGCATGTGTGTGGGAATAACTAGAGCATTCTTAGTCTGCTTTTGGATGGTTCTATACATGGTGGTGGGTCTGCCCTTCCCTGCCTGTAGACAGGACTATGAGCATGGAAGAGCAGGACCTTCTCTTCTATTTCCCAATCACCACAGGAAGCTTCTCTTATGGGACCATAACCATAATTGCATCAGGCAAGTCAGAAAGGGAGAAAAGGGGGCTGCTGGTGGGCAGAGAGGGAAGAGGAGGGGTTGGCATGTGCCGTATCCTTTTTAGTCCCCTCCTCCCCACACAAAAGGTGCATCGGCTACGTAGGCTGTGAGGCCCACATAGCTGCTTTTTAGATCTTAAAGAGAGGAACGGCTCATGCTGGCAGGCATAGTTAGGTGAAGGGCTTCAGACGCAGAGCCCTCTGCCTCTTGGGTTCCTTGGACTGCACCCAGATGCGGTTTTCCCATGACTAGCTTTTGTATAGGGAAATGGGTAAGTTAAATTGGTGACATTTGGGCATGTTATTCCACACCCTTTCCTACCCCCAGCAAATACCTACATTGGCAAGTGGATGTTCTAATGCATATTTTGTACAGCCTTGTATCATCTTTAAGTCCAAAACCTATAATCCCAGGGCTTCATACATTACTGCAGTGGCACAAAATTTGCCTTTTTTCTGGGATTGTGACACAGCTCTGCAATCATGTGTGAAATGTTGGAACCATGTGGGTGCGGGATTGTCACCTTGTCTAATCAGCTAGCTAACAGCAACCTGAGAAGCACATTTGCAATTGGATCTACAATGAGGTGCAGCTTTTCGAGCACTGCATGGCGGGATGGGATAAGGCAATGGACAATCTCCTCCTGGGAATATATCAAACAGCCACCAACTGAATGCAGGACTTTCTGGGTTATTTTAACTACAGTACAGTTTATACTAATATCCGTTCATGTGGGATTCATGATGAATCAAACTGAGCTGAATACAACAGAGGTCTCCAAAGTTTTGGACCAGTTAGGAACATTCAGAAGTTTGAAAAAAAGTGTCCTGGGAACCATCAGTAATTGTCTGCTGTGGATACGTAGGGGCTCAGTGACAAATATATTTGGAGTGTGCCCTTATCTTTCCCCATGTATGTGAGTGCTAGAGGTCCCTCCCTTTCTCCTTTTCTCTCTCTCCTTGACTCTTCTTTCTCTCTCTTTCTGGTTCCTCTTAACCTCCAGCTCTGCTTCTGACTTGCCTTCCTTCCTGCTCTCTCTTTCATCCTCTCTTTATCTCTTCCCTCCCTCCCTTCAGTCCATCTTTCTAGATCCTTCCTTCTCCAAGTTTCTCTTTTCTTTTCTTTTCTTTTCTTTTCTTTTCTTTTCTTTTCTTTTTTCTTTTCTTTTCTTTTCTTCGCTTCCTTCCTTCCCCCTTCCTTCCTCCTGTTTCTTTTTTTCTTATCCTTTCTTCCAACATCCTTTCTATCTGACTGACCATCTGTCTGTCCGTTGGTCTGTCAATCTGTCTGTCCATCCTTCCTTTTTGTTTCTGACACCTCTCTCTCTCTCTGTTTCCTCTTGCCTGTTCTCCCCTGACACTTTCTCTGCCCCTTCTCTCCTCCCTGATTCCCACACAACAGAATAAAGCAGTTTCCAAATTCCACGGGGTAAGAAAGAGCCCCTTCCCTGCTCCCTATACAATAATCACTGCACAGGCTCGGAGAAGCAAGTTTGGTGGCCATGAGTGCACAGTGGCACCACCAACACGACCTTGGAGATACCTGGAACATGCAAGTGCCAAATAAAATCAAAATGGGCAGAGTAAGCAGAACCCTATTTATTCCTTCCAAGGAACTCAGATAATTCTCACTTCCTCTCCATCTTATCCTCACAACAGGTAGGTTCTACTGAGAATCTGTGGCACAATTCACCCGTGAGTGGGCATGAGAACCCAGATCTCCTGAGCCCCAGTTCTGCCCTTTTAACCAATACACTACACTCTTAACTCTACGATGTTTAAAGAAAGGAATTCATTAATATATACATTAATGAATATATTCATTCAGCTATATTCATATATATAGCTGAAGAATGAAGCTTAACAAATAGCTGTACAAGTAAGATTATAAACAATGAAGGGCAGTGATTGTTAGGTATAAATAAGGAAATGCTGAACATACATTTAATGTGAAGTTCAATAAATTGGAGCTTTCCTTTGGTGTTTCTGGTGAGAATTAATTTTATATTTAAGATTCCATATTCGTACTGTGCTGCTAACTTGCTGAATGTCAGCTACGTTTTCTGAGGAAATCTTTGAGTTTTTCTGGAAAATTACATCACGAAGATGGTACCAGCTTTTGATTGGTTTGACCATGATGCAAGCTGAGGCCCGCCAATGGTGCTAAAGTTAGTGGCAAATCAGTGGAGAATGGTCCATTATGGAATTATTAAAGCAGACAAGCACATTATCACTACAACAAGACAATTTCACTGCAGTACCTTCCTCTCGCCACAGTATGTTTGCAACTGCAGCATCAGAGAAATGGGAGAGCCAGAAAATGGTCAGGAAAAGGAAACAAAAAACAACATCAACATTTCATTGTAGCAGTTCAATGAATTAAGACTCTTCTGCTTTTTCATTTTCTAAAATAGCTATTTCTTACATGGTCACACTGGATGATGATGGAATAAAGGTTTGGTGAGGAAAAAAAAACCAATCTCATGAATTTCAGTTTTCTCTACTGGGACTTCCCTCCCCACCACCACCATCAAAGCCAGGAAATTCTCATTAAGCTAAATATTTCTGATTTTTGGCTGAGTAAAGATTGCAAATGGTATTTCTTCATGAGCAGATGATATTCCTTTTTCTGCAATAGAAGGCTTTTATGTCGTACAGTCACACAACAGCTGCGACCACATGAAAGCTTGCCGTATATGCAATGCATTTCCTGACAGATAACTAAGCAAGTAATAAGGAGCGCAGACTTCCCTCTTATTAATACTAATTAATGAGCACTTTGAAGTTACATTTTGTTTTATTTTTCTTTTGTTAAAGTTCTCTGGCCCATCCATAAACCCCATAAAAAAAGGACTATCATCCTCGGAACCCCATATTCCGAGGACTATCATCCTTTCCCCTCCCCTGCTAACATTTCTTGCCAGTGTATTGTGGTTTTAATGCCTAGAGCCATTGTGTCATGGCAGCCCTGTACAGTGGCACCTTGGCTCACGAACTCAATCCATTCCAGGACTCTGGTCGTGACCCAAATTGGTCGTGAGCCAAGTCAAATTCCCCCATAAGGATCAATGTTAATTGATAAGGTTAATCCGTTGTGTAAATATTTTTTTAATCACAGGGAAGATGGGCACGATCGTGGGCACAGGGGAGGGGGAGATGGGCATGATCGCAGTCATCTCCTACCCCCCCCCCCAGCATGACCGTGGTCACGCCTATGCAGGAAGACGGGTGCGATCACGATCGTCACCTGATGCGGAGTTCGCGACCTGAGGAAAATTTTTTCCTACATTTTTGTTTGTGACCCGATTTGGTGGTGAACTGAGGCATTTGTGAGTCAAGGTACCACTGTATTTGCCACTAATTGCACTTGGGTAGGAAGCCACACTCTAGCCCAGTTCACTGATGATGCTTGTGCCACGGTATATACATTTCAAGACATGTGTTTGCCACACTCATGAATTACAGTTTTACATTTCTTTTTGCTATACCTGTAAAAGGTTGTGTGAAGTGTGGCTGTTAGAGAATCTGTCTTGCCCACTTTCATCCTCATGATGATGCAAAGTCTTGCAAAGCACCCTTGCATGCTTTCTTTGTTGAAAAGGACAAACAGCTTCAAAGACTGACAGTTTACTGCAGTTCATTGCTACTTTGGAGCATCAGAGTGGAGGTATATATAAGTTCAGATTTGAGGCATCATTAAAAGAAAAGTAATTATGTGAGCTTTAGAGAAATAGCTTGTGCTTTATTCTCCTCTGCTATGCAAATGGAATCTTGGCAAATCACATTGCATACATTGCGTCAAGTCAGAAAACAACCCAGGAGCTATTTTAGAAATGAGATTTCTATGAACTGGCATGGGTGCTTTTCACCAGAGTGGCAACTGTGAAATATCAGCACTGAAGTCATGTTGAACTCTCCAATTAATTACTGCTAGTGATAGTGGGAACTAGATAGGCATGATCATGTGAGTATTTACTCAGGCAAAACCCAGTTTCACTCATGTCCACAATTCTTAAAAGACAAACAGGAAAACAGTAACTTCAGATACATTCTCACATATACTAATGGAGTACTAAAATAAGTAAATCAGAAAGAACATGTAAAAATTAAACTTACGGGTCTTTCTAGCCGAATCTTCAATGAAGAGAGAAGAAATATCCTCATCTACTCCCACATCATTTTTAGCAATACAAGTATAGGCACCTGTGTCTTCATACCGAACACTACTGATGTGAAGTTCACTTCCGTTTGCTGCAAAAGGAGAAGGAAAAAAGAAATCCATGAACAGCTGTAACTTGTAACAAGTTCTGGAAAGTGAAGAGTTTTCGGCTGCAATCCTGAGTGCATTTACTTGGCAGAGAGTGCCACTGAAATAAAATGGGATCAGAGTGTCAGCCTCACAATGATTTTCTAGTCAAGTAGTTTCAGAGTTGAGATTGCCTACAGATGGAGAAGTCTGGAAATACTGAGGATGAGCGATTGGAAAACCATGAAACCATGAAAATTGACACATTTTCTAAGAATAAGGGAAGGACAAACATTGGTAAGTGCATTTCCAAACCGAAAGCATTTCTGATCCTCTAGAAACATAGCATTGTAGAGACATTTTCTATCTAATATGCAAGGATAGCTAGTGCACAGGAATTGTGAAATGTGCTCCAGATATACATTATGCCTTAATTCTATTAATTTTTCTTCATCAGAAACTGATTAAAAATCTGGAACATTTCCTGAATTTCCACAATAGTCCTATGAATACACCTGGAACTTCTGAGAAAAATTACCTTTCATCCCAAGCAACACAGGACTTGGTCAGGTTTGACTATAGAAGAAATGAAAAGTTTTACCAGGATTTGAAATAGGACTGTGAATTAGTAAAGGAACAAAAATGGGAGTATAATACACATTCCATTTCTTGCCAGCTTATGATGGACAAAACAAAAATGTTTTAACCTTACCTAACAGCATCAGTTGCTTGGACAATTTTGGTGTGATGGCAATACCATTCTTTAACCAGGAAATTTTGGGATTTGGAATGCCCTCAGCATGACATTTGAGGCTCGCTGATACCCCAGGTTCTTGTGCCTGGGTTTCAGGATAGACGCGAATCACGGGTGGCACTGTGGAGAGAGGAAATGGGTGATTTTAAACTAAGCTGTCATATGTCAGCTTTTATTGTTCCTTACAATTCACTAACACCAAATAACTCATTCAGAGCCAAACCTGTTATACAAAATTGCATGTTTCTTTATTCTGACAGGTTGTCGAGTTTTTGTTCTTTATTTGTGTTTTTATAAACCTTGAAGGCCACAGGTGAAAAAGTGTGTGAAGCACATAAAGCCTCATTATGGATGGAGGAAAACACTTTCTGTTTGCATTTTAATGTAGACTTATTTAAATTTGCATGTTCTAACCACTATGTGAACCAAACCTCAGTTACCCTTTGCAATTCAGGCTTCTTTGAATTTTAAAATTGAGCACTCTAATTTTTAAAAATGCACACATTATTAGGGACATTCTTGCACAAATATGAGTATGAGGTAAAATGTATGTGAAAATGTATGTATTAGAAGAAAAATACACACAAAGCTTAGGACTTTTCATGTGAAAAAAGAAAAAAGAAAGAAAGAGACCAGAGCAATTTTCAGTTTGAAATATGCCAAATCAAAGATTGGAAAGTTAAGAAACTGAGAGAAAGAAACACTGACAATTTTATCCATTCTTAGAGTGCTGTGCTGGTTTGGGGGATGGGCAGTGCAATCCGATGTGTCTGCTTGCGGCTCTCTGAATTCAGAGGATGATGGACGTCCAATGGGAGCTGGAAGGAAGAAGGTCATTGGCTGCCACAGCATGCCAAGAGGAGAGGCTGAGATGCTGCCAGGACACCCTTTATTATGGTGGAGCTCCACTCTCTTCCCTCCCTGTTCCCATCCCTGTCCACATACCTCCGCTTCCGAGTTTGGCCTTATGGCCTCGGAGCCACAGCTGCCATGGAAAGAAACCCTCCCACCATCTGGGAGGGCCTCCCAATGTCACAGTGCCAACTCTGACCTGCCCATAACCGCTCCGATCTTGGAGCACATTTCCAAGGTTGGAGTTCTGACTTTTCCTTGGGCTGACTAGTCTCTGTGTAGCAGCAACAGGATTTCATCCTTAGTTATTAACTTATTTCTAGTTTAATGATCTATTATTTAAATGAGTAATTTTACCATTATGTTAAATGTTTAATTTTACCATACCCTGTCCCCATGGAGACTTACACAGCAACATAAACATTAATGGAATAATACAAGTGGTAAAACATATTTCAAAAACAAAATTGAAAGATACTAAATATATTTAGAAAAGAAAAAGCATCAAGCAGACCAAAACGTTTAAGAAACATTTTAGAAACACAAGCTTCATGTAAAAGGTCCTTATTATTTACAGCGTCACAAATATGTTTATGGTAATGTGCCCAAATGTGTACTAATAATGTACATTAATGCTGAGCAGGCTGAAAAGCAGGCAGGGGGGTTTCCAGAAGATTGGAGAGACACATGTGGGCTAGTTATGATGCTAATGAATGAGAAAGGGTGAATGAAGCCTTCCTATTTGGATGTCTCTCCCCTGCCTGTCCCTAGAGAGGAGATAGAAAGCGCTGTCCCTGCTCTGATAGCTCCATGATGATTATGCCATTGAAATGAAAACAAATCGGAGCAGCACAAGTAAAACCAAAATATGCACATCATCAGCAATATGACATCAAACAAGGGATGGCAGGAACAGAAGAGGTGAGGGGATGGTAGATGCCTCCAAAGCCCCTGTGTTTGAATTGCAGAAGCCAAGCAAAACAATCTAAAAAATAATTTCCAGTCTGGCTCTCCTGTTCATACAGAACTGATTGACTGAATAATAACTGGTCCTTGAAGGAGTTTTTGGCAACTAACATGTTCTTCCTCAGTCATATAAATAGCCCGTTAATCTTTAAGGAAGCTTAGGTAATGATTAACAGGATGTAGTAATGTTAATTTTAAAACCACTGTAAATGTGGCCACATGAGTTTTCTGCCTCATTAATATGCTCTAGTTTGAAAATCAGTGACATAATAGAAAATGTTTTTGTTCTGTAGAACTGCAGTCCTGGCAAAGATATTCTTGCAATCCTGCCTTATTCTTTGCTGTTTCCCAATTAAAATGAACCCTGTTAATATTAATGAGAGTGTCATGAGCCAGGTTTGCCCCATTCGCACTTACAAACACACATCATTCTTTGGCAAAAGCTCCTCATTCTCCAAAGCACTTCCAGTAAGCACAACCAACAAAGAGTGGGTCTCTGAGCATGCACAGAGCACTTTGCTGAGCCTAATCTAACAACTACTTCACAACATTTTCCTTTTGAGTAGCCCTGGGGCCCAGCCCTCTGAGATGTCTTTTTTGGAGGAGGTCAAGCCTTTTCCTTGTCCACTGCCCCTCTAGTTCATCAGCCCATCTCTCCCAATGCCATGCCATGCCATGGGGTCAAGAGTCATGCCAGGCTGGTCGGCTGCCGGAATTCTTCTCCCCTTCCTGCAGCTGTAAATCCTGACTATTATCAGTGCCCGCTGAGTAGCTTGGGAGGGTTTCCTTGAGATAACCCTGTGCTTCTTCCATTTCAGTGTTTAAGAATTCTGGTTCCCAGGATCTCTTGTCACTTGACAAGTCTGCATCTGCCTGACCTTGGAATAGCTGTCCCTTTCTTCCCAAGAGAAAGTTACACCTATCTTGAAAGATTCTGCTGCAAAATGTGTTATTCTAGTGCCTGAATAGTGGCTTCGAAGAGACCAAAAGTTTGACCGTTTCCGGCAAAAGAAGATTGAATAAAAGCTGCCAATTTTTCTCAAGGACTACAAGGATGGACTAGACCCTATTTAGGGAAGTGCAAATTTGTTGAAAATGTAGTGCTAAGATTACAGGTGTATGAGAGTTCCTGAAAACCACTCTTGAATTTTGGGGAGTGTGTTTCAGTGAATTTAGAGAGGGATCTTTATTTTCATTCGTATCACAACTCAAGTGATGGCTTGTTGCACCTTAAAGAGAAATCATTTTATTACGGTATAAACAAGCTTTCCCCGTCTTGGAGCTTCTAGATTGTTCAGACTCCAGTTCCCATCAGCACCAGCCAGCATGGTCAATAAACAGGAATGGCGCTAGGTTGAACAAGGCTTGCATATATTTTCCTGGACTAAACCAGATGCAAAAGGTTGACACTTCTAGTCGACAAAACCTTACACCACAAATAAATTTGCTAGTCTGTAAGGTGCCATCCGGGTTGGGTTTAGACTGTCCTGTGAATGGATGGGGGTGGGATTCCAATGGAGATTTCTGCCGAAAGACACGGGAATGCCACTTTTCTCTGGCTAAATATTTAGCAAATCCAGTCTATCACATTATGTGGGATGTCACAACAGAGCTCTTTTTCTGACAAGAATGTCAACTGATGATATTTTAACTAGCAACTGTATTCAGTGACAAAATTCTTTAAGCGACTTTTTCAGTGACTATCAGCAGAAACTTTCCTCCAGTCACATATTCTGATTAATCCCGTAGATGGAATCAGAGACAACGGTGCCATTGCCAGACCATTCAGTTTCAGAGGCCTAAAAGATGATCGTTGAGGTATAAGTTGAACTGACATGAATAGAGGCAATGATGGAAAAAATAAGCGTGAACTGAGAGCTGATAAGACAGGAGTGGGCCTAGCTTCCACTTAACAGTAGGCTTTTGGATCTATATTACTTGAACCATGAAAATACCAAGGGCAATTGAACAATTAGATAACTTGTTATAATAAGCTCCACCTACCGTGTGTCTCTCGAACAGGGCTGACTGCATGCTTTCTCGCTGTGCCAAGCCTATAATTATGGGCTTTCTGGAGGAAGGCATGCCAGATTGGTCAGCTCGTCTCTCAGAAGGAAAGAGATTTGTGTACTGAGGCTACTACAAAAGCCAACTTTCTCTCAGTAAATTAAATGTGAATGAAAAGCCCAACATATTAAAAGCACTATGCTCTTGACCAATTCCCATTACAGTCAATGCCCAAACTAATTTTAGCAGACGTTACATCATATCTTCAAACAGGCATGAAAGCTGCACCTCCATTAATTATGACCTGTTTTTAACTGATGATGTCTACAAAAGTAAACAAACTCTTTCAGGGTGTTGTTCACACGGACAGATTGACAATAGTTGTACAAATCTGTTACTTCTCTTTACATGTTCACTAAGGACTGTACCATACAAGGTTATGTACAAATGGTACTACCGGATATATAAAAAGAGAACTAAAACATGTACTGGTATTAGTTTCTTGGAGCAAAGATCATTTTATTTCTACAGACTTTTCAACCTTAAAGCCTTGTAGTGACTTGGATATGCTCTGCATCCCTTGGGTATTTTAAGGTCTGTGAAAGTTTGGAAGGGGCTGTTAGCTTGGCTGTGTCCATGTAGGATCCAGAGTCGTGCTTAACAGAGGCTTGCTCGTGCTTGAGAAAAGTGTGTGGTGGAGTTTATTTATTTATTTATTTATTTATTTATTTATTTAAAACATTTCTATGCCGCCCCATCGCAATAAGCCTCGGGACGGCTCACAACATCAATAAATAAACCACACAATAAAACAATTGAGTTCCCTGCAATTCCTCCTTTCCAATTCAGCCTCATGTGCCTCCTGAAAATCTCATACGTGCTGCAACTCAGAATCTTTCCCCATTGCAATTAGGCTTTTAAACCAGCTGCCACCCATTAGCCTTTGCAGAAGCCTATTCCAGCACGGAGAGTCCTTTTTCAGAGCAGGAGGCAGAGCAGCCTGGGCGACTGCAGGGCAATGGAGAGCTGTGTCAGAGGAGGGACACAGAGCCATGGCACCTGATCACCCAGCAGGGTCTGGGCAAGCTCACAGCATCACCGCTGCCTCCCCGAAAGTGCTGTAGCACGGAAGTGGCCAGCAGCGCACCCAGAAGCAGGAAGGAGGCAAAGTTAGTGCTGCACTGAAAATCTGTCCTCCCATTTTCTAAATTTTTTCATACCCCATGAAGGATGCCTACATTATTCTGCCCAGTCTCGGGGCATTTTACAATTTTTAATATGAAAAGGAAATTATA